TATTGACTTTGATTGATGCATTACGTAATATTTTTTTTTAATTATAAAGTGTTTTATTTTAAAAATCAACGGTGAAATTGAAATTACAACTAGAATGTAGGAAGTCTTTTTGCAAGCACGCGAATAAACGACTTTATAAAGTATGAGAACCACGCGATTCATTGAGGCAAAAGTCAAAACGCAAAAGCCCCATTCGTCGCACATAGGAATCCTTTGCAGTATTATATAATTAAAGGCGTTGCTTAATTACTTTACTTGTGTTCCCCACTCTGAATTGATTAAGTCTTAATCTTTCCATCTACGATCCCGTTAGGTGATGTTTTCTTGTTTTTAATTTTTTTCAAAAGTACTCTTTTGTATTTCATGTTTGACTAAACCATATACGGGTAAAAGATTCTTTTTCATTCACATCTCCCAAAGTCTTCATATGCTTGCAATTGCAAATTAATCATCTTATTTAAGAATTAAGAAGCGTCCAACACTTTAAAATATTTTTCAGATATATTTAGTATATAAAAATATTTTGTGTGCATCTAGCACCATAAAATATTTTTCAGGTGTGTCAAATATTTTGTTTTTGTCTTGGTGCTGGATGCACCAAATACGTAAAAAAAATACTTTATGGTATTGAATGTCCTAAAAAATATTTCAAGATATTGAACGCATTTAAAAGATTATTTTAAACTGTTGGATGTATCACAAAATATTTTAAAATGTAGGATGTACTAAAAAAAAATTTCAAGATGTTGGGTTCATCTTAACTCTTTATTTAATTTATATGTTTGATTATTTATTCGGTAAGATCTCTTCTATAGAAACAAAAAATTAAATGATCATCTTATATTATTCAACCAATCGATTGTGATGCTACGGAAAATTACCTTCAACGCTTTGACAATTGTATTGTGAAAATGAGAAATTTCCGACGTATCGTTCTCCAATTCTGTCCTTAGGCCGCAGATATTTATATAATTCAATAAATATTTTAATTAATTAGGTTCCATTTTCAACAGAAAGAGACATGAATATATTTCCAAAAAAAAAAAAAGGATAGCGTATCGAACACCGTACATATTTTCCCATGTAAAATAGTGATAATTAATTAATTAAACATAAACGATTTTCTTTTTTGACATTTGACAACAACAGCGTATCGTCAAGTCCAGTGTTGTATGCAAAAATGTTCAACATATATTGCTTGCGTACAGGGCTTGGTCGTTCCCACGTGTAACTAAATAAGAATCTTTCTTCGGTAAAACAATATCTACATAACTTGTATTTTAAGCCAAAATTAATTCTTATTTAGAAAAAAAGCCTAAGTAGTTTAGTGTTGTCGTTTTACATATGCAGATATTCTATAATTGCTTCAAGAAGAGCTGCCACGATGCCTTTAATAATAGTTACTCTTGAAGAAGAATACACCGTGTTTTAGTTTTAGGCATATTTATGTGAGACACGCGTTGATATTCGATTTGTTTTGTTTTTATATGCAATAAATACAATATTAATGTTTAATAAAATTCTAATGTGAAATAAAAGAATATTCAATACTTGTCTCTAGCTGTATAATGAAATACCTCCAGGCCCTATATATTTTGTATGCTTCATAACATGATCGATGACAAAATAATAGAAAAAGGAACATAAAAAAGTATTCATGTGTAGAATTATTAAGCTTGTGGACCTTTTGATCGATAATTTATCTAAAAATTCATAGTTGTTAATAGAATACAATGACTTTGACTTTGAATGATCTATCTAAGTGACCTCGCCTAATAAAATACTACATTCAGCCCTAATTGTAAGAGCTAGTTGACTAATTTTAAGAGATTAAGAAAAAAAATTAAGTTAGTTGTTTATAATAAATATGTGTTGTATTTCTAAAAATATCATTGCTAATCAAGTATATTGGCTACAATTACCATTGTTAGAAGAACTACTTTGGAAAAAAAATATAAATATAAGAGACAAAGTGGATTGTAGGCTCATTTTTAGAATCAAAATAAAAGTTAAACAATTTCTTATATTAAGGATCGGAGGTAGTAAGACTTATTGTTGGTTTTATATATATATATATATATATATAATTGATCCATGTTCCATCTATCTAGTTTGCCATATATAGATTTTATGCCATAACACTTAAATTAACTCAAGTTAAAATGCAACATGAACACAACTTTAGAATCCGTCCAATAAAGTTGGGTTCAATATAATTGATAAGGCTGCCACTCATATTTCACAAGGATATATATTCAAATTTTATTTCTAATATATAAATAATATAAATTTTTTTTATAACGTTATGGGTCGTTAGCATCTACCATAAAAAAAAAAAAAATTCAACTCACCTAAATTTTAGGATTAAAATATATGTTTGTTGGAACCAGTTTTAATGTTCATCACTTTAATTTGATAAGTACCATAAGCTCATTAGATCTAAATCATCCGTATTTTATTTGGATGGTTCAGATTTGATTTTTTTTATTTATTCAAAATAATTATTTTAATATATATAGAATCTAAAATAAGAGTAGTCTCTTAATAATCATTTTTTTTAAAAAAATAAGGGTAATCTCTTAAAAAAATATTGTTGGTGAGCATGCTATTATAAAATCGGCCGACAAATGCGGCAACCGTTCTTAATTAGTCTTTTACAAATGAATTCAGATGCATTGCACTGCCTCTGCTCATAGCACCTTCCAAGAAACTCCCCTTTCCTATCTTTTTCATTATTTCCTCTCCTTCCCATTCATGCATATCCTATATAATTCTCCATACCATTTCTTTTATTATTCTTTTCTATAAATTAAACTCAATCAAATATGATCAAATACCCATGCCAAATATAATCAGACATAATAAATGATCATATATATAAAATAAAATTTGTAATAAACTGCATTATTCACAACTATATATATATATATGCATGTGTTTTGTTAAATGAAATACAATAATGTATACAAAATTTGTAATTCCTTTTAATTTGTAATTATTAATATATGGCATATTAATTATTTTGTGGCGCTTTATTTTTGGCGTTGTTTTAGGTTCACATGTGTCACATGGTTTAGAAAGACATAATAAGGATGGAATCATATTGTCTCCACTACAGTAAAAGAACAGCAAACTTATGAGGTCATGATTAATGTTAAGCTAACGTGTTTATGCTTAACATATATAGTACTACCTCATGTCCTAATTATAAGACCTCGTTAGTAGACTACTAATGGGATCTTATAATTAGGACAGGAGGTAGTATTATTTATAAAAAGAAACAATAATTAACATCCGTACTGATTGTAAAATATAATTAATTTGGCATAGGATTTTTTTTTTATTTGGGGAAACTTCGATCATTGGAAGGATAATCTTTATGATAAAAACCAGCTCATAAGTTTTCTAAATTAGTCTAGTTTTTACACTCTCAATATTAAAATATTGATCCACACGAATGACATGCTTTTCAGACATATATAAGAGATTATTAATTGTTTTAATTATATCTTTAACAATAGTTAAACTTTTGTGTAGTATCGAAATGTTAATTTTTCAAATAATTCACTGATTTGAAGAAAAAAAATTAAATTCAGCTCCCGAAAATTAATTATTGACAAGCTAATGCACAAATATCAATTGATTCCCTCTTCTAGAGAAAGTCACTAATGATCCAATTCTGACTCCAGAGCTCACTTTCCACTCTTTCCGACATAAATTCAACTATTCATTGTCTTCCACAAACTTTTGTTAAACACTCATTGACAATGCACAATCTCCACAATATTTAGTATAAATCAAGTGTTTTCTATATTAATTTACAAAATTTGTATAATTTAGAATTAAAATAGCTTAATTTTTAAAACTTACTTGCTGCGTGTGGAAAACTTTAACGGCAGGTTAGTATGAATTACTCTAAAAACATTTTTTTATGTTAAGGTTAGCAGTCAGACCTAAAAGAAGGAGAAGGGAGGAAAAAACAAATAAGTTAGTACATAGATAGTACTATTAATTGTTATTACGCGTGAAGTTAGAACTTGCTCTGACGAATAACTTATATATATCTCGAATTTTTTTCTTTTAATTCAAATATTCATTTTTTAATTTATAGATGAAAGTGAAATTTTTTATGCGCTTTCATCAATGGAAAAGATCCAATTATTTATTCCCCGTGTGTTGCATGTAGGTTATGAAATAAATTATATGATTTATGGATAATATGGATTATCACAAAATTATGTTAATATATTGATTGATTTAAATTCTATAAATGAAAGTAAAATATGACTTACCATATTGTCTATTATGGTAAAGAAGAGCTCACAGAACCTTGACGAGTTGGCTGGATCAACTGGTAGCAATTGTTTTAATTTAATCACGAGTCTTGAGCTTGAGGCATAAGAATACAATACCCTATGAGTTAGAGACGTCAATCTTAATAGTTCTTGTCATGTTTCGAATCTGAATTAGTTTGAGCTTATTGAGTTTTCTATGACATAAGAACTCACCCAAGATACCAGGTGCAGTACACAAGAAAAAAGAAAGAACAGCTCACAGGAAAATATTATATATACACATTATATATAATAATAATGAATTATAATTTTCTAGAAATAGCGATATCTTAAAATCCAATCCAGTCCAATTGGCAAAAGCATCACCGGATTTGCGTAAAATCCACTTGATTGCTTCACTTTCCTCACAGCCTTCTCTCTCCTCTCTCTCTCTCTCTCTCTCTCTCTCTCTCTCATAACTTGAATCTTAAGTATAATTTCATCCCTCTTCTCTTTAAATCAACACAACAATTACCCCTCGAGCTTCCCTCCTCCATCAGCTCTCTTCCATATCTTATATATATGTGCGTGTGTGTACATTTTCCCACCCCATTGAAACGTCTCAATGACACAAGCATTATCCTTCCACGGAAAGCTTAACGCCATATAGAGAGAGAGCCACTATATATATACAGACGCACAGACACACAAATATATAAAACCCACTTCATCAGAGTCTGTCTGTTCTTCGCACGAGTAATCAATTATAATGGGTCGCCATTCCTGTTGTGTAAAGCAAAAACTGAGAAAGGGTCTGTGGTCCCCTGAAGAAGATGAGAAGCTCTTCAATTACATTACCAGATATGGCGTTGGCTGCTGGAGTTCTATTCCCAAACTCGCTGGTATTTTTCTGAGCAAAAAAAAAAAAACGTCTTCTGTTCTTGTGTCTTTTTTATCAGATCATTTTATTTTTATTTTTATTCTAACTGGTTTTTGTTCTATAAACTTGCAGGGTTGCAAAGATGCGGAAAGAGTTGTAGGTTGAGATGGATTAATTATCTGAGGCCTGATTTGAAGAGAGGCATGTTTTCTCAACAAGAAGAAGATCTCATACTCAGCCTTCACGAAGTTCTTGGCAACAGGTAGTAACTATGGAAAAGAAAAAGACCGAGAAGAAATGAAAATATTGACTGTCCTTGAAGAATTTGCCGTTTTGTCGGAGGTTAATTTTGATTTGAATTTGCAGGTGGGCTCAGATTGCAGCACAGTTACCAGGAAGAACAGATAATGAGATAAAGAACTTTTGGAATTCAAGTCTGAAGAAGAAGCTGCTGAAGCAAGGGATTGACCCAACCACACACAAGCCTCTAATTATTTCAGAACCTCATCATCAATCGTCAATCAAGGAGGAGAACAAAGGTCTCACAGATTCAGAGACAGTACTATTGCCATCTATACAGATTCCATTCTCAGTCGTCTCAGCTCCAACAACATCCTTGGGCTTCTCATCATCATCACAAGGATCATCAGTACTTGCAGGAAGTGATTCCAACCAGTTTGATCAGAATAATAGTGGTTATGACCCATTGGCCTTATTGGAGTTCCAAATGGCTGGTTTAAACCAATCCTCTTCTGGGTTCGGATCATTCAATATGTCCTCAATAATGCCAGGTCTGATCACAAATTCCATGGCAGAGTTCTCATCAGAAAACAATTCGGGTTCGAGAATCAGTTCAAGCAATAGCTTGAGCAGCTATATTCAAGGAGGAGGGTGTCATCAGATAAGTAACAGTTTAGCGATGGATCCATTGTTGTATCAGTTTCATGAAGCGAATGGTATAAAGAACGAAGAAGATTATCAGTTGATGAAGACGACGACGACGACAGGGTCGTCGTGGGAAGAAGATGGCCAGCTTCTGAATCAAACCTCCATAGATTTCACCGCCAACTATCCGTTAACGTCACTTTCAGAAGATCTAACGCCCGCGAATTTGATGCTTTCCACACCATATGTGAACTGTAAAAAAAAAAAAAAAAAAATCCCCTCCTTTTTTTTCTTTTGCTTTCGATTTTTTGATTTTTGATTGATTCTTAACATAGAAAGACGGTGATGTGATAGTACAGCCAACTTCCACCAGATGGATCCGATCCCCTCTTTTCCTTTTGTTTGCATTTTATTTGTTCTTTCCAATTGATTTTTATGATGTATTTGGTTTAATTTCTTCGTTGAAGATTTCATGTGACGATTCTTGCACATTAATTAATTAATGAGTGAAAGTACCAATTTTGTGGCCCTAATCTTTTCCAAATTGTCCACAACTAATCAATTATTACGTGAAGTTACAGTGCTTTCCTTCTTCTCTCTCCTTTCTTTTTTTTTGGTGAGCTTTCCCTTTGCTGTCATTTACATGTCATAACATTATCAGCTGGTCAAACACTCAAAAACGATCGAAAACCACTTCTTTTATATATATATTACTATATAGAGATGACGCCCGTGTGTTGATGAAAAATATTATAGACAGGTCCACAAATATGTATGTGTGTGTGCATATAAATTAAAGCGCTGGCAGATTTTGAAGAGAAGAAGAAAGTTGTGTTATGGGCTGGATAATGTTTGTCTATATATATATATATATATATATATATATATATATAAATGGACTTGAATGGCTGGCAAATATGATCTTGGTGTTGTGGGTCTGATCGATCTTCTGCAGGCAGGTCCAGGTGAAGAGAGTGGATCCAAAGTCTAAAATGGGTGTCCCATTATAATTTGAATTATTGGAGAGAGACGTATGTACACAAACGTAGCTTATTATAGGGTAGGGCCTGTCTGAGTACAATAATTGCTAAGGGTCATCTTTTTGCTGTAGGCTCAGTCCTCCCATAACTTGATGCTTCTTTTTTGATCATTTAACTTACATGCAGATTGTTTATACATGCATGGTCTTAACCCTTTTGGATCATCATGCGTTGTCCCATATTGTTCAGGTCAAGTTCTGTTTATATATATATATATATATACACATGTGTGTGTGTGTATTCCATTGATCTGCATTCTTAAAACAAAACCTCCAGGTGCAGAGGGTCTAAAAGAAGTCAAATTATTAATTAATGATTTAGTGTGAATTTTGTTTATTATGTACTCCTAGTATTGATTAGGATAAGAAAGAATGAAATAATGTATTAATTATGAGAGTGTGTACGTGGTTGGGGGGAAAACAAAATAAAAATGAGGGGGGTGTACGTAAGGAGGAGTTAATAGAGGCATTTAAAAGGTAAGTGGAGAGTCCTTGATCAGATTTAATAAAGCTGCGTGCTCAAAAATGCACGCTAAAAACATTGGAAAAGTTAGAGGGAGCTTTATAGTTGTTTGGTTTGTGAGGGGGACGGAAGGAAGAAGGAAAATTTTTTATTAAGTTCAATTTTGTAAAAAAAAAAAATTAGAGAAACAAGATCCATTTCCCTCAAACTAAACATGCCCTTAGATTTTTTTTTTTTAGTATTGTAAAAAAAGCAAACGCTTATGACTTGAAATTACAACTAGGATTGAACTTATAATTTTGCATTCACTAATTCGGGAGTTTTCATGCCACTAAAACAATAAAGCCATGGACAAATGGAGCCTTAGGGTTGGGAAAACTAGTCGAAGATGCGATAAGGTGACAAGGTTAGATCATAACATTTATGAGAATTGACTTGAGATGAATGTGTAGTTAAGATAGTACAATCCCCAGCTATGAATTGAACCAAATTATGTGTTGTGATTTTGAATTCAAAAGTAGTACCAAGTTGGTGGGTTTGCGTGTGAGAGTATACACTTTGAGAAGAAGTCGGTGTCTATACTTGAGGATTGTGATGCAAAAGCAATGGTTAGTACTTAGTACTTAGTAGGCTAAACGACAAAGGAAGGGAGTCAAATGGAGTCCCACGCATGCATATATGGTCCTACTCATCTCTATTGCCTTATCAGGCGGTGAATTGAAGATCACTGTTCTAGTTACTACCTCCTATTATTTTAATATATAAAAACTACTTTCACATTTAATTCATTCTAAATAATATTATCTTCTGTCTTTAATATAAAACTCGTTTGACTTTTTTAATTACTAAATCTAAAACCCCAATCAAAGTAGTGCTTATAATAATTATATATTAAATATTTTTTAAATAATAATTCTAACTAATATAATCATTAATAAGAATGTTTTAGAAAAGACAAGTTATTACTGTATTAAAGAGCCGAGGTAGTATAATTCAATACTCAATTAGCCACTCAGGTCGTACAGTGGTACAGCTTATAGTTCAACGTACGACCTACTTATGTTGGTTCCCAGTCTATTCCACCGTCCCTGAAAAAATATATATATTTGCTATTTTCTAAATTTAATATAATATATTGGCTAATTATGATTAATTTAATATTTAAATAATATTGATAGTAAATATTAAAAGAGTCAAACTTAATATAAAGCGCCATTATTTGCAAGTCATAAGTTAGAATAGTTCATTCTTTATGTAATCATAACAAACTTGAAATTAATGTAAAATATAGAATTTATATCAAGTCAAGTTATTTACAAATAATAAATAATATTATTTTATTTTTTTAGACTAATGTATGAGAAAGTATATACATGGCAGATTAACAATAGGAATTGAGTCTACCGAACGAAACTAATAATTCCTCACTATATGTTAAACTGACGTAAACAAGAAAGACTCAAAATTTCTGTGAGAACGAGTAAGAGTCAAACTTAATATAAAGCGCCATTATTTGCAAGTCATAAGTTAGAATAGTTCATTCTTTATGTAATCATAACAAACTTGAAATTAATGTAAAATATAGAATTTATATCAAGTCAAGTTATTTACAAATAATAAATAATATTATTTTATTTTTTTAGACTAATGTATGAGAAAGTATATACATGGCAGATTAACAATAGGAATTGAGCCTACTACCGAACGAAACTAATAATTCCTCACTATATGTTAACTGACGTAAACAAGAAAGACTCAAAATTTCTGTGAGAACGAGTATCTTCCACTGCATTGCATTATTTACCTGCAAGTAATACGAGTGGTGGCACAGTCTAGAAAAAGCGAAGTAAGGTCATTATGTTTGGGAAGAAGGGTGGTGAGGCATATATAGCTAATAATTAACAGGATAATATAATAATTAATTGAGGGGAAAGACTTTGATTAAGAGATCCAAAGCAAGATATATAAGAGGGATTTAGTGTTGATGTTGACAATAAGCAAGATGCTAAACTCACAACATGTTCACACACACATGTAGGGAATTTACTGCTAAAGGATCTGCCGCCAAGGCAGCCTATATAATTACAACTTGATGGATCATTAAATCAGAGACACATATATCTATCTATCTGGAGGCTGTGTCTGAATCATTAGGGTTTAAGCAAAGTAATTCAGGCGCTAAAAGCAAGTCATAATCAAACATCTTCATTATGAGACTTTGATCATCATAATACTACCTCTGATCCTTAATATAAGACCTTGTTTGACTTTTATTTTGGTCCTAAATATAAGATCCTAATCCACTTTGTCTCTCATATTTATACATTTTTTTTCAAAGTAATCCTTCTAACAATGGTAGTTTCTAGTCAATACACTTGATTAATAAGGATATTTTAGGAAAGATAATACATTTGTTATAAATAACTAACTTAACTTCTTTCCTTAATCTCCTCAAATTAGTCAACTAGCTCTTATAATTAGGACCGGATAGGTAGTATTAATACACACACTTTATATACCTTTCATCTTTTTGGGGTGCATTTAAGTTCAAAGACAATAATTAATGTATCCTAAATCATATCGTCAGGGTGACCAATTAGTCCAAACTAATAATAATTCAAGTAATATGCCGACGCACGCAGCTACTTGAGATTGAATCCATCAGGATACGACTATTCTTGAAATGGTCAATAATAGTAAGCAAAAAAGATTAAGTGTTGATTTTAGGAAGACCAGGTGGGAACGAAAGGAAGATGCGAAATTAAGGGGGAAGAGACAAGATTATTATAATTATTATAAGTATTGACGTAAAATATAATACTATATGGTAGTACTAAGCTAAGGTTGATGGTCAACCAAGGTGGTTCCTCCGACAAAAAATTGGAACGGTAGCTTTTGCTGATTTGTTGCCTTTGAACTTTCCAGCTTCTAGCCACCCCAGATTCCCACGCCGACGACGTATATCCTAAACCCAAACCCAACCATTAAAATATGTCGCATGCGAGCTTCCTCGTAATCCCGCAAATATCGACCTTTTACTATTCACTACTATATTCATCACCGCATTTATATTGAATATAAATTTTATATCAAGTTTTACTATTTATAAAATCATTACAACTGGTCATGCTTGATTCAACCCAGTAGTAGTAGTCATGCATAATTTCTTAAGATAGATACTCTTGTTTTGATTTGGCCAAGTTTTCAAATAGAGACTCGATATCATGTGGACATTTTTATTTTTAAATTAGAATAAAATATTTTTACCACGTGGGTTTTCTTAAAAAATATTTACAACATCTTACGACAAATAGAAAAGGCTGCACCACCTAACATGAATTTCAAGTTTGAAACCCAACCTGAAATTGAATCCAATACGAGCTAAACCGAAGTTCAATTCCATCAGTAACCATTCAAATATGCAATATTTTATCACATGTATGAAGTAATTTTTTTGGGAAACACGGGTTATGAAGTAATTAAGAAAAAATACGAATTATTTGGGCTTGCTAAATACTTGGGTTTGTGGTTATCGTGGAGATTTCCGACTAAGTTTCTTGACAATTTCGATTGAGCTATACTATTATTCAGGAAATTATTGAGTAAAAAAAAGCAATAATCATGAGATTTGACGAAAATTAACAAGTCCAGTTAACATTAATTAAAATGAATGGCATGATAATAACTTGTATTCCACATATACGAATCATGTTAACTGCGAGGGAACTCAAGGAAATGTAATAATTAGGCATAGAGAGACAGACATTAATGATGATGATGCGTTGAACTTAAACTGAGAGGTTCTGGAAGACTTAGATAATGAACAATTAAACAATTAAAGTGAAAGTAGTTTGACACTGTGGGTGACAATTATGGAATGATGGATCATTAGGTTAAAGACCCTAAGGACTACATGTCATTAATTACAATTGCACAAGTAAGAAGGAATATATAGTTCATGCTCAATATGAACTAGTCTCTTTCATCTTTTAATGTATGCACCCGGTATTCCAAGCTAGTCCCTTGTCATAGGAAACTCCACAAGCATAAACTAATTCGGATTCAAGCCGTGGAAGACCTTTTAAGGCAGAAGTTCTACCACCGTATGCTGATGCATTTCTAGATTCAAATTTGAGACTTTTGGTTAACAGGAAACAACCCATGTACTAGTTGATTTAAGTATTTGGTGGTGATTTCGATTTAATTGTTATGTCATCGGTTTGACTATCGACTTAGTTAATTGAATCATAAAAATTGAGACTGGCTTATCTGACTTTTAAAACATTATGAAAAACAATATACAATTAGGAATTTATAATAATTAAGCTAGGGATGAAAAAAAAAAGGACTATATTTTTGTATGTGGGCATAATTGTGAAATATCTAAGGGAGGATTGTGTTTGACACTTTGTAACTCTTTTACATGATAAGAGTGCCAAGCTAGGCTGCTTTTGTTGAATTAAAATCGGCTTTTTGGCCTCAAAGTGATCATGATATTAAACGCCACAATGGAAACAAGTTGCTTTTCTTTGGGAAAATTAAAATTATGTGAATTTAATTTGTGGGGTATCTGAAAGGCGAACAACAAACTAGAAAGTACAGAAAGCTTGTAATTCCTTAATTTGAACGCCTCAATAATGGCTTCTCACAAAAGATGAGCTCCACGTTTGACACATCGCGGTATGTCTTTTAAATGTGTTTTGGACTCATTGCTCTTTCCTCCTTCCAATTACGAAACTTCTTATCAAACGAGGGAGCCATTTTCAACTTTTCTTTTCTTTTTTTTGCATTCCCTTTAACCGTCAAAGCCTTTGTGCCGGAATGGTTTTATGTAAAGATTTTAGGGGGACACATTTCAGCATGACAAAAATTGTTGATTTTAATAAAATACCTTTCGTATAAAAGTTTGATTTCAATTCAAGATTAAGGGGGGAAATTAATTTTGGTACCATATGCATGATGCATCCATTATTTGTAAAAGGTTATCTTGAAAGGCTAATTGGATTGATAACTTTTTAAAAATAATCATTTTCTCAGAAAATAAGTTGAGACCAATTTTTTTAACTAATCCAAGTTACACTTGTTTTATGTTTTAACTTAAGAAAATAACTTTTGCTTTCCAGCCCTTAATATGCACGAGACAAAATTCTATCAAATCCTGTTCTATAGATAGGTCAAATATTCTTGTGTTGGCTGAGTTTAAACTTTAAGAGTTGGTTTGGATAATAGGAAGAAGATAATACCATAAAGAAAAACTTTCAAAAATAATAAAATTTTCCATCAAAACTAAGTGTAAGGTATGTTCAGTTAGTACATACATATCTACACGATCCCCCCAAAAAATAAAAGAAGTAACCATATGGATTTTTTGTAAAAAAAAAAAAATCTTGCTTTATTTTTTACCTCTTAAAGATGCTTCATATCAAACATACCCTAAATAGTATATAATAGCCTATGGTCAACTTTTGGCCAATGAAACCACAACTCCAAATCAATTGGGAACTGTAGAAGAAGCAAAAAAAAGCCAATATGGGAAAATTTTTCCAAAGGCAAACACGACTATGTATCGAAAAATTTTAAGGAACATGATGGCATTCTATATTCTGAAAACACAGGAAAAGGCCTAACCAACAAACTGACGTTGACGGTCTACATCAAGTATAGGGTTGTTAAAACTGGCCTAGCCTCTAAGTTTCAACAGCCCAATTATCCTCCCTCCCACAATTTTAGTTAACAAACCTAAAAGGACGATCTGTTACCAAGAATCATATTCCATAACAGTGGGAAAGAAAATGATCCAAAGATATCAATCCACAAGATGGCGAGATTCCAAACATCAACCCACGTGTTTCCCTTAAACATGCTCACCCAACTTTTTCTTACAGAGAAAAAAAAAAACTCGTGCACTCCACAATTTTTTTGAGGTTTGAACTTGTAATCTCTCCTTTTCATGTTGCATGAATTAAAGTTCTGGCCATAGACATGTTTTTGGAAGAATCTTTTTCCGTTGTTTATACTTTATATATAAGATAAAAATAATCACATTGTTCAACCGAGTACACACTAAATTAAGAAAATAAGGCATGCCTGCACTTCACTGTTTCGACTGAATGCTCCCACTTGTGATCTGACTAAATTGGGCTGGGCCAAGCCCAGTTGATCCAAGGGCATCTTGACCAATGATCCGTGAATCCGTTTCACAATTCAATATTTGTCCAAATAATTCCCTGAAAGAAAATGCCCAAATAATTCATATGTATATCCAGACCAAGTGCCAGCTGCCTGCAACTGCAAGGTCGTTCAAATAACTGGGATTCTCTACGGTAAAATAGGTTACTTCAAATTCTCTGAAGAGAATAAAGGAACAAGGAACGACCGGCTCACTCTCCCTCCCTCTGCACATAAATACAAAACTGCAAAATTATAGAAGAATTGATTTAGTTTTCAAACCGCGATATCTTAATACAACATCTTAGATGGTTTACTATAGTCAGTATATACAGGTGATTACGTAGGTTTAAGCTCCCTTTGAATTTTTTACCCCTGGCATGTCGGGTGCTAGAATCAGTTATGTCAGAAGCGTGAAACAATTAACAGATAGAGGTGAGTAGAGAAATCCACGAGTGCATCAATACCCTGCCCAAGCACCTTGGCCATGGACAAATGAAAAAAGTAAGTAAAACCAATAAAGTCATTGGATGCACCAAATCCATCAGCGCCGTCTATTAAAAGGAGGGAATGTATAAATCATACTCCATTCTATACGAGTAGAGCAAAAGACTACCAGCAACAGCAGCCTTGTAGGCTTATATAATGTTAATACTAGTTCAACCAACCAAGTCTAAAAAGTCTAAGACAAATTATAACCATGTTATATATATGACATTTTCAGAGGAAGAGAAGAAAGGGACATGTGCGGCCACGCATGTACGCAAGCATGAAAGCGCATAGCAAGATCCAAGGGCAAGAGATTACCAAAGAAAGTTACATTATGTGTGAATACTTCTGGACTGAAAGTTTGTACATTCACATGTTTCCTTGAAGATTAAGTTATACCAAGCCAACAGATGAATGACTTGTATGATCAATCAGAAGTCCATGGTCCATAGCCTTACTTCAATAATAATGGGGATTGCATGGAACTTTGCAACTTCGCATTGTTAATAAATTCAGTATAAATACACTCCCGCTTATTTGAAACACTTTCAGAACCGGGATCGATTATGAAAGAAAAGGCTATCTGTGCAATTGAGCTCCCGTTTGATAAAGAGTGAGGTTGTGAATGGCTTTTCCGAAGAGATCCCTCAACTCAGGATGTTGAGCTGCAACAGGACGAGCTAGCCCCTCCAGAGTACTCAATGCATGTTCTTGCTCAAGAACCTTACTATTGCCTACATTAATGGCAAGGTAACAAAGTAGAACTAGGCCATGCTTTTTGGCACGATCATTAATCCGAAGCAGTCTCATTAGACTAGGAACCCCGTTGAACTCCATTATTGTGTTAGAATGATAGGCAAAATTGTAGTTGTCAGGGCATACAAATTTACCCAAAGCAATAGCAGCTTCAATGGCTACATCTACATCCCTATTACCAAGTTGAGCAACTAAAGGACCAATAATTTGTGGAACTTTTCCAGGAAAGTTTCGAGCCACTGACCCAATTGATTTAATGGCAGGAATTTGCAACGCCGGATTGTTCTCCTGCTGAACCACTCTCAAAAGCTGATCCAAAACTGCTTTTGCAGCTGGAGCAGTAGGTTTAAAAGCCACCCTTCTAAAGTCAGCATTGGATTCTGCTACTGCAGCTATCTCCATGATCGCCATAAGGCAATTCACCTGCAATTCACCTGTTTCTGTCTCAATCATTTTAGCCAAACAAAGCAAACCTTTGGTCTCCGTAATTTTCCTGCTGGTTGATAGACTCCCTCTAGAGAGTTTCCACAAGGCCTCTGCACAACTTATTTTGATCTTTTTCTTCATCTCAGAACTCTCAACCTCCCTTTCCCTTCTGTAATGCCCGCTTCCTCTGCTACTTCCATGATCAGAATTCGTAGAAAACGACGATTGACCAGAAGATGACAAATTCACGACCAGTGAATGAATACTTGCTCTACCTGCCTGAAGCATGTGGTCACTAAGAACCGTATCCATGGACAACAAGGAAATCAGTGGTCTAGTCACATTCGCTCTCACAAGCTCCTCCTGAGCAATTGGACCCTGTTCTGCCATCTTTGACACCAAATTTGCAACAGAAACCTGAACCCTCATCGGAGAGTCGCCGAGAACCTGGACAATGATCGGAACCCCAAGCGATTCTACGATGAACTCGACTACTCTCTCTTGGTCGGTAGCGATATAGACCAAAGCATTAGCAGCGGCAAGTTGAGCATCGGGGGAAGCAGACTCCTTCAGCAACTTCAGCAAAGGCAGAATACCACTTTCTTCCATGATAATAATCTTGTTGCGCTCGTTATCTTTAGCGATGGAAGCGAGCTCGTTGGCCGCCTCGGCTCGGTCCTTGAGCTGACCCATTTGAATCGTGGCTGTGTAGGACCAAACCCAAGCGAGAATCGGGTCGTTGCTAGCGATCGGAGGGAGAGTCAAGTCGGTACCACCGTCGGAATCAAAGATACTGAGAAGCCACTTCATGTCACCGATAGAAGATTCGAGAAGGTTCGAAACCTTTCGGAAGTCAGCGGTGGAGGTTATGGAGAAAACTTGACGGAGGACACCACTGTGTTTCTTACACTTGCGGACAAGGGTTAGGGCCCGTTCGAGGTTCTTGGAGACTTCGGCAACAATCCGGCGAACGGGTGGCTCGTAGAGAGAGGGAGCAGTGGAGGCGAGTCGGACGACGGATCGGAGCATGGCAGAGAGGGGTTCCACTTGCCTGGCGAGTTCGGAGCAGTCAGGCTTCAAGGATTCGGCCTCTTGGGCGGCTTTGATAACTCTGTCTCCCAGCAAAATGGGCAAGGAGAGTTCTTCTTGGATGGTCCTTTCATTTTCATGGGTCGCCATGGGAGAGACGAAGAAGATGATGATAAAAACTACGGAAGCACAGACGAAGGGCTCCTCTGCTTCGTTCCGTTGTTTCTCTGTTTTTTAAATAATAATAATAAAATTGAAGAGCGAGAAAGGAGAGTGGGACGGGGATTTGGATTAATGTTGAAGGAGGCGGATTCTTGGTAGTTAGAAGAGTACCGCCGGCGAGAATAATGATGAAAAACTGAAGCGGAAAATGGGCTGTGATATGAAATTCTGCGAAACGAAGTGAAGAACTTCGTCTCCAACGTGCAAAAGACGTCAACGGGTCAAAAGGAAAGGAGCGGCTTTTGATTGAATTATTGGTTTGCTTTGAAAATGTTATCTCATTTTTGTTGGCTTCGTTGGCTGAAAAGAGGCGCAGGGATGGTACTGTTACTGTGGAGTGGGGCCGATGAGAATGACTGTATCCAAAACAAAAATGGAAATGGTCGCTGGCCGTTGGTAAAAATTAAGCCCAGCTCAAAGCTTCAAATTCGAACAAACGGCATCTGCGTTGCCCAGAGTAAACATTATCACTTCCTATGTCACTAACTAATAATTATGTTCAATAAGACACCAAAAAAATTTACTTAACAATAACGTAATAAGTTTTTTTTTAATTTAAGAATTTATGAATTAAAATAAAATTAAGAAACATGAGCTTTTGAGTTGAATTTTTATCTTGAATAAACATATTATAATTTAAATAAAAATATAGTAAGACAAATAGTTATAAAAAAATCATCAGTAAAAGAATACCAACTTTTTCTTTCAATTTTCAAAAAAAGTCTCCTCCGATAATAAACAATACAGAAGTTATAAAAATAAAAAATGGAAGTGATGATTCTTTGAAGGCAAGTTAACGCGAATAAAAATGAAAGAATAGCCACAAAGAAATTTATAAAAGATGATGAAAAAAGGAAAGCAGTTGTTAAGATCAAAACTAATAGAAATTGCATTGGAAAAGGTGGTGTGGTGAGACAAAGTGAGTGATGCTTTTGTTTACAAGGAAGAAAGGAGCCTAAATGCGTAAAGGGAAGGAAGGCTCCAAATATTGATGTCACATTGTGAGGATGTAAAGGCACAAAATAAATTTAGGCGGCACCAAAGTTGCCACTACCATTAGTTTTGGAATCTGACTCACTCACAACTGGAATAAGACCGCTTCTTTTTGTAAATCATATAAATAATTTCATATGAAGCTCAAAGTTTTAAGTGTCGCCTATCATCATGGAAGAGGTTATGTGGTTTTAATCAACGGAAATGGATGTCTAACGTCTAAAACTAGCTGTGCTATCATAGGAACCCCAATAAAAAAAAAAAAAAAAAACCTGTAACTATGAAGATGATGAAAACTAGATGGATCTTCTGTACAGTGCATTGCACCTAGTCTCAAACGAGTGCCCAGCTTGCCATAATTCTACATCACAGTTTGGACGATCACCTAGTATTCATCCCACATTAACAAGACCCAGAGTAGCAAAGCTGATGTCTTTTTCCTTTTTTCTTTCAAAAAGTATGAATTGCCACACACAACCTACGATCATGTTTTCCTTGTCTATGGTAGATAAGCAGCATCTTCATTTCAACTGATGATTTTTTATTTAGACACTAACATCATACTATAAACTATCATTTTTGTCCAACGGAATGTACCTATATGAACATTCATATTTGGTAACAATGTGCCTTCTGCCATATAACACCACAATGTATCATGGGAATATGTAATCATGACAATCCCATCACCAACTAAGGGTCTGTTTAGATATCCAAAACCGTGGTTTCAGAAGCACTTTTCCGCAAAACGAGATAATCTCCTCCACATATTTACTTCGTAATCCGTAAAAACACTTTTGAAACTATGGTTTGGTTTCTATCCAATCACACCTTAAAACAAAGAATTGTACTAAGAAATTCTTTATTCCCTCTCTTCAATCCAAAACAGGGGCAGAGGTCCACTGATATCATTTATAAGATCAAGCAGATATGGGGAAGAGAAAGCTTTAAAACAATATGTCTAATCTGACGGACTTTAGGAAAGACTAGCATCTATATTTAGCTCATTGCGAGACAAAATTTCCTGAGATGATTGTTCAAACACAGGACTTCATCCCATGAAGTGGTTCTTCATTTGGAAGCAATAGCTAACCATTTTCATCAGTAGCAAAGCGTAAAGCACAAACAATCAACACAAAGAAAAAAAATCAAAGTTGCAGGTGCGCGTGTTCACGGTAATTAATAAAAATATCTTTCAACTCTCAAGTATTGACTGAAACAACATCCCAAGGTCTCAATAGTTCAAAAATTGAAAGTGCCCAAAACCATCGTAATTTATACTAAGCTGTAGTCCAATAACCCTTTAACCTAAGCAGTGAGCACAACAGCACCACCCGCCTCCTTGATCTTCTTCTCAGCAATCTTGGACACGAGCTTGGCCTTCACGACGACGGGCTTGTTCTCGGGCAAAACCCCTTTGCCCAACACCTTGAAGTAACCAAAATGAGTGACATCGATCAAGGGCGCATTATCCTTGGAAGCCTTATCCTTCATTTCCTGGGGAACTAAGGACCAGAGCTTGTCGATGTTGACAATGGGGCAGTAGAATTTGTTGCGAAGTTTGTGAAAGTATCGCATACCGACCTTACCGAAATAGCCAGGATGGTATTATCGAATAGGATTCGGTGGTGGTGCATACCTCCGGCGTTACCTCGACCTCCCGGATGCTTCCTGTGCTTCCAATACGACCATGGCCAGCGCTCACATGCCCTCTCTTCTTTCTGTTCTTCTTGAACCTCGTCGTCATCTTCCCTGCTTCTGTCCCGTCTTCCTGTCTCGCAATCCCAGAGCGGCAGCTCGGTACGATTAGGGTTTCGATATTTATAGCGGATTCTATAAGGATTTACAACCCATTTTTTCTATTTTTTATTTTTATATTAATTCCAGTGCATTTTTTCGTCTTTAAAGATTAAAAAAATATTAAAAGGAATAAAAATATTATTAAAACTTTTTAGATTAATACTCCTTCTATACTTAATATAAGACTGTTTAATAATTTGATTAGATTAAGGAAGTTAGTAAGTTAGTTATTATAAAAATGTGACACATTTTTCCTAAAACGCTATAATCATCTTTTTTAATACCCTCTCTCTCTCTTCTATTTATTATGGTTGAGGGAGTATCCATAGGATAATTTAGAGAAAATTGATAAATATGAGAAATAATTCTTATATTTAGAATCAAAACCAACTCAACAATTGGATCATATATTAAAGACGGGAGGAGCACTATTTTTTCTTTTTAGGCAATACTAAAATGAAGTTAAATTTTAATAATTAAAACTAAAATGAAATTAAACTTTAAGAATTAAAGATGATATTATCTTTTTAACTAAAAAAAAAAGGATGGTATTAACCAAATTTTTTTAATAGAAATTAATAACACTGTTTATCTTCTTTAGATAATCCAAAGCATCGCTCAACATATGATTAAAAAATGTCCTTGGGAGTCATATTGAGATGATAAGATGATCAGTTTTTAAGATTCAAATTGACATAATTAAAAAAACAGCTTGTTGAGTAGAGTGCAACACGGATCTGATAATAGCATCGCGCAAATCAGACTGTAAGCCGTGTCTTATGCAACATTTAAGAAGGTCACAGTAATTACAACTCATGAAGAATCCAAATCTATTTCATTTTTATATTATTTACAGATTAATCTAAACAAGATGATAGCTAGACGTTAGATGCAGAGGTCGGCTATAGCCGAAACAATTTTAAAAAACCCATCTTTCATCATGAAATTAGAGAGCAGGAAACAAAACAAAAAAGGCCAGTGAGCAGGGCAGTAGCCAATCTAATCCAATAGTTTCAATCCGGGTTGGGCCTTGGGCCTCTCGCTGCAACTAAAACCGGCTACTAGCTTGAGACATATAGCACTAGTTTTTCTTGTTTTTTTGAGCAAATTTTATCTGAAACTCTAAAATCGTAACAATAATAATAAAAGATAATATTCTCATGATTTTAAACTTTTGAGAAGACAAATTGCCTCCTAAAAAAATTTCACATGTCCAATGTTCCTGAATGAAACTCCCAGGACTACAAAATTGTTTATAGAAAAAATTGCTTCCACTTGAACATGCACAATGCAGGTAGAGTACTTTCTGCTTATTGAAAAAGATGGAGGTAGTAATTAGTTTCCTCGCCAACCGCATCCAAACGCTTCTCGTTTTCATTTATCGATAAAGTACTTGTGGTGTTACCGCCAAGCAGCACCCAATCCATCCTTTCATTTTTTGTTTCCAGGTTTTCTTTTCCTTTTGTTATATGAGCCATTCTACAACTGCCCAAGCCCATCAACAAAGCATCCCCTTTATTGTTCCAGCCATGATTTTCAGTTTTATTCAAACCAGTTGGACCGACTGACCGGCCGGCCGTTTTTATCCAATTCCTTCATATCGCCAAACAAGATGAGGTGGGCGAAGGAAAGAAAAAGAAAAACCGTTTACTTAAATTAAATTACTCGGATTATTACCAATTTCAATTTTTGGCAATAACTTTTCTCCCTTTTATCCTCATCTTCCCTACCGAATGCTAGATACCTGGAATCAGAAGCTCAGAGTATGAAGTGGTGTCCCCGCTACAGGAAAGAGGTTAAGCGCTTTCAGTCAACAGAAATGGATGTTCAACGCCTGTAATTGTGCAAGCTGTGGTTTCCCATCAAGACCAGAAGACCTGTTATCTATCAGAATAAATTCATCTGACGCCATTAGCTAGCAGCTAAGACAAGATACATGAAAGCTAAGGGGATCCCATTGTGCGGTGAACTAAACCTGATAAATGGGTAGCGAGGCTTATAGCCCTACGTCATAGTTTTTGAACGATTACCGAACATTAATCCCACATTAAGGGAGCTAATGTGAATTTCAAACCAAAAGATGAATTGCCACATAGAACCTATGACCATTTTACCTCGTCCAAGGTAGATAACCTAATCAACATCTTCATATTAACTGCAGATTTTTATACAGACACTAAAATCAAACCATACCTAGCTGAAAATTCATACTTTGCAGCAATAAGCCTTGTGCGATATAATATCACAACGTATGATATGACAATGTAATCAGGGCAATTTCAAACCCCAACTCAGCTGTAAGAACAATTTTTTAAATCACTCACTTCAAACCAGAAAAGGGGCAGAAGACCCTTCAAATTAATCCTAAGATCAGGCAGATATGAGCAGAATTATTCTAAAAGAAAATGTCTAGTCTTACGGACCTCATCATCCCATGAGCTGATTCTTCATTTGAGAGCAATCGACAAACATTTCATGTCAATCGCTGAATGCAAGCTTAAGCCAGAAATATTCAATATAAAGAAAATAAGTTTAAACTGCCGGCAACCAGTTCGCACTAATTAATAAAAATATCTTTAAATCCTCAAATATTAACTGAAACATCCAAGGTCTCAATAATTCAAAATTGAGAGAGTCCATAATCATCGTAATTTCAACTAAGTTATAATCCAATGACCTTTTAACCTAAGCAGTGAGCACGACAGCACCACCCGCTTCCTTGATCTTCTTCTCAGCAATCTTGGACACAAGCTTGGCCTTCACGACGACGGGCTTGTTCTCGGGCAAAACCCCTTTGCCCAACACCTTGAAGTAACCAAAATGAGTGACATCGATCAAGGGAGCGTTATCCTTGGAGGCCTTATCCTTCACTTCCTGGGGAACTAAGGACCAGAGCTTGTCGATGTTGACAATGGGGCAGTAGAATTTGTTGCGAAGCTTGTGAAAGTATCGCATACCGACCTTACCGAAATAACCAGGATGGTACTTATCGAATAGGATTCGATGGTGGTGCATACCTCCGGCATTACCTCGACCGCCCGGATGCTTCCTGTGCTTCCCGATTCGACCATGGCCAGCGCTCACGTGCCCTCTCTTCTTTCTGTTCTTCTTGAACCTCGTCGTCATCTTCCCTGCTTCTGTCTCCGGCTTCCTGTCTCGCAACTACGGCGTGGCAGAGCGAAGATTAGGGTTTTCCATACTTATAGGAACTCTATATGATTTGACTCTTTTAACCCTACAAGGTAATGATTCAATTTGGATTCTAATTTTTGGGCCAACGATTCAATATGGACTTAGGATTACCATCTTGGGCCGCACAACATAACATTCATTAGGATGATACAAGAACTTTTTCCACCAGAGGATGATATCAGATTTCACTTTAAACCTGAGTCACGTTAAGATGGCATGAAGATTCAAAATTCGGAACATACCGTTAAAAGTTTTTTTTTTTTAGCCACAATAAGCTAAATATCACTGTCAATATTAACTAAGCACTATCGTGTAAACATCATAAGAAAGAAAAATCTTAATTAAAATGAAATATTCGTCTATTTAAATTGAAAAAATTGCTTGATTGAAATCAGACGAGTTTGACATATCTAAAAATTAATTTGCTTTAAATATTGACACTAGAATTAAAAGTTGATGTTAGAAATAATATGAATTTATATTTTGATCGAACAAGAATAGAGTAAACGCACCTTATCAGAACACTCTGAAATAAAGAACCTGATGGCTCCCCTTCATCTACCCCAATTTCTTATCATTTTACTCTCATGTATCAGTACATAATTCTTAAATAATTACACCAGCGAAGATAAATAAATATCTAGACAGTAGGATGGATGTTTATTGCCAACTTTATATTTCTAATACATATTGTTCAAGGTAAATAAAGGATTTGTTAACCAACTTTCCGCGTTACACATCTGCACAATCCATGTCACTCCAATAACCGACTTTTTTAACCTGTAATATATCACAACGGTTAAAAGGCGGCCTAACTTTTAACCTAGCTGAGTCATGAGTCATCTACTTGGGCGCAGATGAAATTCACTGATACACAATTTCAGGGAGAACCCAGTCTCCAGGAACTTGGCATTGCCGGTCTTCATTATGAGGATTGAAGAGTTCAAAACAGAAAGGGCAAGAAATCTTCAAGTTGACCCAACTATTTGTTAGCACCAATGCATGTTGCCATAAAACCCACTTTTTCAGTACATACCTATTTACAACTGATTTGATTTAAGAACTCCCCATTAACCAAACTGGATTCCCCACAAATCTATTGTGCTCATACTCTGATTTCTTGCAATAAATTTCATTCAATACTACATAACAGTCGAACTCGGATAGCCAATGAAGACCACCATACCTACGTACCGAGTCATCATCGCAAGTGATTTCTTTAGAGACGCTACAATTAATGCGTTCTTTCAAATGTAATCCAAGTAACTACCAGCTGCAAATCCCCTAAAGTTAACAAAAGAGAGATGAGAAAAATGCCAAGGCAGCGGAAACCGACTACCAAGGCCTCTTTGAACCCAGAGGAATGGAATTGGATCCTGATATGTGACCTCGGTTGCCATAACCTCCCCGTCCCCTGGAGCGGAAGTTTCCCCCAGATCCTACAAAATTTAAAAACAATCACAAATCATGCCAATGATCGACTTAAAACTTCAATGCAGTTAGGGGAAAAATTTTATTACCAAATTGACCAGAACCAGCTGACCGAGCCAATGAAGATAGAGCAGGACTCACGATCTGGCCAGCATCTTGCAAGATCTTGATCAAATCCCGGGCAAACTTGACATTTGCATGAGTGAAAAAGGTGAAGGCAGTTCCTTTAGCCCCTGCACGACCTGTTCGACCAATTCTGTGGACATAATCTTCCAGGCTTGAGGGAAAATCATAATTGATCACACATTTTATGTCCTTCACATCTACAATCGACAAAGCAAAACATCATTAGGATTTATATCCAAGGATTTAAATATGGAGAAAACTGCGAAAATCCTTATCCCTGCAACCCTAAGATTATGGAGATCAAACTCAAAGTCAACACATTCATCACATAAATGTGCCCACCTTAACCTTGCAGGGATAAGGAGCAGATTCACCATCATTTCCACCTCCCATATCCAATTATCCACTAAGCACGCATGAGTCAACCAGGCTGCAGAGACAACCAGCTCCTTAACTGTGGATGGGCTGCAATCAATTTCACCAAGTTCTTAAACAAGGGACCAAAGTTGTATCACTAGTGCGTGATTGGCAATTGACCTTAAATCGCCAAGCATTCACCCCATCCTATCTAATTTACTTAGCCCCACACTGCAGGAGCCTATGATAGGCCAGCATCCCAGCCATGTTAACGGAACTGTGCTCCAGGTATCCATGTAACATGACCACCAAAAATATGATAGTAACATAACAACAACATCAAGCAGTTTACTGGAAGCAAAAAAGAGCATCATCTTTCAGTGCAATTCATTAATCCCTCGGTCAAGTAAGAGGAAGTTCCAATCAACTAACAATATGGAATCTCTGCATACCCAAACCACAAATTTGAAACTGGACAGCAGCTGGCCGACTCACCTGTCTCTAAATTTTTAGCCCAATCCCAAAAGCCTAACATTCCTAACACACAGTGATCCTACCAAGACCCCGTGCAGCGACATCAGTGGCAGTCATTATTGGACTTCTGCCACTCTTAAATTCAGCCAAGACCCAGTCCCTTTCGGCCTGGTTTTTATCACCATGGATAGAAAGTGCAGGCCAGCCATCCGTCCTCAATTGTCTTGTAACTTGATCACAACCCTTTTTTGTCTCGATAAATATAAGAATTCGACTCCCATCCATCAGCTCGTTAAGCAGTCTGATCAATCTGCATTTGCACAACCAGCTTATAAGCATTAATCTGGTGGGCAGAAAAATCATCTATACTGTTTATCGGTGAGAAGACAAACCTATTATATTTCTCCACTTCTGTTAAAACTTCAACAACCTGATTTATAGATTGATTTGCTTTCAAATCTGCTGATCCAATAATTACCTTAAAGACGATGATATCCACAAAGCAAATAACTCAATCCTTAGTTCCATAAGAAAATCAACACAATCATACATTAATCACAGCAAATAGCATGAAAAATAGAGATCCTATGACAGTAACCTTATATGGATTGCGTAGAAACTGTCTTGCCAGAGTTTCAACCTCTCTTGGCCATGTTGCACTCCAGTACAATGTCTGTCTATCAGGCCGGATCTGTCATATGTAAAAAATAACTTTGGAATTTGAAAATGCACCACAAAATCCAATAATGACATGAACAAGATATAATGACAAAGGTACCTTCACACGTACATATATTTCACAAATCAAGTACACCCAAGTGTTGGCTTCTTTAAGGGTTGATTTATGATCGTGATTTATCATTAATTGTTGCCTATATTCTACATAAATGGACTGCACTCACAAAATAATTACCCAATTTGATAGCAAGGGTCTTGTCTTTTATTATTTGCTTTTAAACTGACAATCAGCCCCCTTCGGTTGAATTTTAGATATTTGGCCGTCTTTAACACACACACACACACACACACACACACCCCCAAAAAAAAAAAAACCACCCAAACAAACACCAAACAGCTTCAGATTTGATTTTAGAACTTCGGCCATGGCTATGAGAGACCAGGGTAGACATCTAACTAGAGCAAAACTCCGGGTATAAGTTTACTACAACTGAAAGGTTTCCCCCAACTTATTAAGAACCAAATATGGAATTGAAAATAAAAGGGATCAATGAACTTCCGAGGTTATCTAATTCACCACTTTCTAATGTTGATGTATATTTGATGGTTCATGGTTGTATAAAGTCATTACAGTATGGTGACTATGATCCGTACCTGCCCAACAATTTTTCTTATCTGAGGTTCAAAGCCCATGTCCAGCATTCGGTCAGCTTCATCCAACACAAGGTAAGTCACTCTTCGCAGATTTGTGTGCTGAGCTTCCAACATATCTATTAGGCGACCAGGTGTAGCAATAACAATTTCAACACCTGCAAAGAGCCAACAGAAAATAGTCTCATCCTCTCATAAACTTCATCCATATAAAGGCTCAAAATACAAGCAACTTATGTTTACTGAAAGGCAAAAAATACCTCTTTTAAGATCACGAATTTGAGGTCCCTTTGGGGCACCACCATAGACACAAGTACTTCTAATATTTGCTCGAGAACCAAATTTTACAGTTTCTTCCTGAATTTGAACAGCTAACTCTCTAGTTGGAGCTAGAACTAAGACAATAGGACCTTCACCTTGTACTGAATCAGCAGGCAAGATATCAACTATGCTATAAAGCCAGAAAAAGTGGAAACTTGAAAATAAGCGAACATGGAAATCAATGCATACCCAATCGAGGTTGTGCACTGATATGCACTAAAGCAGGAAGCAGATACGCGAGTGTTTTTCCTGAGCCAGTCTCCGCAATGCCAACCAAATCCCTACCCTTCAGAGCCATAGGCCAACCTTGAGCCTGAATTGGTGTAGGCTCCACAAAACCCAATTTGGCAATCACCTCAAGGCAGTAATCTAACATGCCGAATAACATGATCAGCAAAACAAGTCAAGACAAGTTATCAACAATCAATATATCACGGAAAGGTAAGTCACCAGGAAAATTTGCATCTTGAAACGTTCGAATTGGTTTAGGAATGTCATGCCCTTGCACTGTGATCTCCCTACTGGCACGGTAAACCATAAGTTCATGATCAGACATTGCCCGCACCGATGGGCTTTCGATGTAAAAATTCTTCTCAAAGGGAACCAAATTTCTAAAATCTTGCTTGGGGAGTGCTATGGTGTCCAAGTCATCCTTGGAAGATCCACCATGTCTTCCTCCTCTAACCCCACCGCCATCGCCACGGCCACGGCCACGTCCACGGCCAAATCCTGCGCTTCCACCAAAACCTCTACCTCCAGCCCCACTTCCTCTCCCAGAGGTCTTTTCGCCGTGAGCTCCACCAAATCTACCACTTCCCCGACCTCCAATCAAACTGCTGCCCCGATCTCTTCCACTGCCGCGACGACCTACGTCGTCTTTTCTATCACCAACAGGACCGTTTCCAAGTCTACCGCCGAACCCCCTTTGGCTAGAGACACCACCACGCCCTATATCAAAGCCTCCAGGAGGCGGCATGAACGACGGCAACTCACTATAGTTTGGGGCAGGTGCCGCTCCAAGAGCACTCCCAGCACCTCTTCCTCCCATATTATAACCAACCGGTGAAGGACCATAGGAGGCAGGACCTCCCCGGCCGTAGCTCGAGCTGGCACCGCCAATCACTGGAGGGACCATAGGCGGCATAGATCCAAGTAAATCACTGCATTAAAAGGAACAAACAGGCGTTTAAGGGGCCAAAAAAGAGGCACATGTATAAGGCGAGCAAATAGGATGCCAAGATTCGCAACCTACCTCCTGCGGTTACGATAAGAAGTCGAGTCTGCATATCTGTTGTCGTGAGGGTTCATGTTCAGATCCTTGGAGCTAGCACCCACGACTAAGATTACAGAGAAGGTACCTAGGGTTATCGGAATTCGGTGGTGTTCTGAGTATCTCTTTCAAGAATAAAAACAGTCTGTCGTCAAGAGGATTACTTGCGTCTCCGAATCTGTAAATTAAGCGCGCAGAGAAGCGAACTCGATAATCCAAATTTCAGTAAATATAGGTCGCCGCTTGCCGGGAGGGAAAGTAATAAAATATCTGACCCACCGATCCAATAATGGAGCCCAAAATATCGAATTTGATACCCGAATACTTGTGAGTTACCTTTGAAGATTTTGATTTGATGATTATTAAGCATATTAAGATGAGATAAGAAGAAAATTGGTCATACTTTAATTACAATTAGTATATGTATTTTTTAATACGATTGGCCAAAACAGAATTCTGACAAAGATTGATTCAAAACTTTACCTGCTGACTCTAATTTTTATTCATATAATAGAATTGTTTTTCGTTACAATATTTGTGTAAACTGACAAAAAAATTTTATAATATATTTATCTTTTGCAGTATAAATTAGTGTTAAGTAGCAATTGGAAAGCTGTTTTTCGAAACTACAATCGCCATTTCAAACGAAGTTCTCCTTTTATGACCACTGCCCAAGTCTACGTAATAATATCATGCTCTGAAATCTACCTCATAGGTTAGCCAAATTAGCTTCTTGATGATGATTTATAATGTTTGACTGTTTTGAGTGTGATGTGGTGGTTCACTCCCAAGCGCCAAGGATCAAAATCCAAAGCTTCAGACCGGACTTTGGTCAGGCGATGCTGCTGCTTTGTATATAAAACCAAGTGCCAAAGCATGAGCACTTCTTATGACTGGGTAACAAACCATCAAATTCTAAAGCCAACAAGAAAATGATAACATAGCATTTACTTATTAATATTGTTACATTCTTCTAATCAAATGGAAACACTGTCGAAATTAGAAAAAAAAATGAATAAATATATAAAACAAGCTGAACAATAATAATGATAATACCCACTCCATCACTAATTAAATAATTAATCATCTACTCCATTCATGCCTCCTGAAATGGATAGGAATTAAATTAGAGCGAGAGGTGGCACATAAAGAAACAGAAAATTCAAGAATTGTACAAAATGAAAAGGGAAAATCTCAACAAAAAAAACCCATTAAATTTCAAAATTCTAAATTGAGAATTACTATAAAAATATATTGTTATTTGTTTTTCGAGTGTAATTATTTTTTTTACGAGTGTAGTAACCAATACTGATTTGAAGTTTTAAAATTCAACAATCATTTTTTAGGATTTTTCCAAATGAAAACAAGCTCAAGATAAGATCAGTAATTAAATGGACTTGCCTGAAAAGCACAAACAGGACATGAATCTGCCTGAGGAGTGGTGTCTGCGTTGTGAAACAATGTCATAATGGCTCTTCTTCCCCACTTCATTTCCAACACAAACCAAAGCAACCTCACAGAACTCCGGAGCATTCTGCTTCACTATTTCCCCCCTGCTCAGTTTGTTCTTACCCCTGCAACACCAACTTATAATTTGTTTCATGGCATGCCATATACTAAAATTAAGCTCAATAAAATCCAAGCATATGTATACCATGGGTGGGGAGGCTTTTTTATTCCCATGACGAGGTTTCTTATGTTCAGAACAGAAATAAGTTCCAGAAGTCCTTTGGCTGTGTCATTGTTCTCCAGATGCACCGTTTCTGCCCTCACCTATTCGAAACACCAAACCAAAGTCAGAGGAAAAATATGACGCTTGTGGTTCAGAAACAACATAAACAGTTCTAGATACATAGATACATGTATGTACCTGAGCATCGTTACTTAACTGGATGTACTTCTGCATGATGTTGTTCGTCTTGTTGATCTCTTCATTCTCATAACTCCTCACTCGTTGCTGGTTTAATTGGCTTATTGGTAAGTTACCCACTGTCACAAATATATACCATCAGCATATGGGCTGCAATTCACTGCTGTTTGCAGTCAATATTATGGACACACCAGAACATGTATAACTGATTGTCTTGTAAAACAAAGGCAACAATAAAGTTATTCGGAGATTTTTTTTCTGCTGTAAAATGATGGAGTTGTACTTGGTACCTGGAGTAGGAATCAAAGTGACAGGAACCGAAACATGGACAAAGAAAATCCGAGAAGAAGGAGAAACGGCATGATCCAGAGCCCATTTTACGACGTCTATGTCATCTTTCCCAACAGCCACGTAAATGTCCTCAGCTCCACTTTCTCTGTTATCTGTTTCGCTCTCTCCATCTTCAGATATCTCCTCTATTTCTGATGACACAGCTGGCCTAAAGTAACGCCTCTCCTCAACGTCGTCGTCTTCCTCACCACCCATGCCAATCAGATCCTTCAATACCACTCGGTCGCCTTCCCTGGGAACTTGTGGCGTAAATATTTCCTTGGAGTTGTAGTAGTCTGAGTTATGTTTAGTTGCAGCAGAAGGGACGCCATTAACAGCTTGTTCATTCTCAGGCCACCATCGTTTTGCGGTGTAGTAATCGTTGGCTTCTGCTGGTTTGGGAGTACCATCTTCCATGTCTGAGCCCCTCGTTGTGACATGGGAAAACAAGGGTGAGAGCAGAAAGATAATGAGTTTGCTGATGCCGAATCCGCAGTTTCCTCTGAGCAAGGGTTCGTTCAAAACTAAGCCGAGATTACAGATTCTCCTTTTGTCAAGATCCGCAGTGTCTTTGGTTATTTCATTGGTTTTCTTGTGTCTTCTCTCTTCCCCTTAATACAAAGCCTCTTTTAGCTGGAGTCCTATGTCTTATTTTGAATGTCTAGTAAGAGATTGAGAATGGAGCTGGTATTGTTCGTAGATATCAATGGTTCAGTCGCTAACCTTGTACGCTTCCCTGTATGTATTTAATTTGAACATATGACTAGCAAGGAAATTTCGTTTAACGTAAAGAACAAGTAATTATTAGATAGTTTAGATTTAGAGAGCACTTCATGAGAGGTGATTTATTGTGTAGAGGTTTTATAAAATCAAATTTTTAGATAGCCTAGATTGGAGATATTAAAAGGGTGCTTCTATTTGTAGAAGTGATTTCCAATATAAATGATTAAATATGTTATTTTAAATTGTTCCCCAAGTGGAAGTAAAAGACTAATGTTATTTATAGGAAATCTCCCAATCTAACGTTATGTGCAATAAAATATTTTATTTGCTATATTGATTTCAATTAAACTGAAGTTACTTCAAATGTTCAAAAAAGTAAATGGTAGTTGGAGCTTGAAGAAGGATCTAAAGAGTAATTATATGTTATACATAGTGGCCGTTTTACTTGGAACCAGTTTTAATACTCATATTTTGATGAGTACTTTAAACTCATCAAATCTAGATCGTTCATATCTCATTTAATGGTTCATATTTGATTTCTTTTTTATTTTTATTTGTTTAAAATAATTATATTAATATATATAGAATCTAAAATAAAAATAATCTTTTTACTATCATTCTTTTAAAAAATAATTTTTTTATTTAAAAATAATTAATTAAATATTTTAAATCTGAAATATTCAAATTAAATATAAACTGTCTAGATTTGATAAGCTTATCATCAAGTGATAAACAATGAAACTAGTTGCGTTTTACTAGAAGGCCTAGGTGATTCAGTTAGCTCAGTTGTTATCGAAGATTTAGATTCACAACAGTGGATAATTTTGTGAGGCCTGCTATATTAAAGCTGGGGGTAGAAAGTCATACAAAAACTTAATTTACTTAGATGCTCTCCGTCTGAGCATCCACTAAACGAAGCAACAAATTCTGCTACGCAGCAGATTACCATCATTATTGCTTTACGAAAATGCGATTGCAGAACTGGCGACCCTCCACAATTATACATGCACTAGAAGATCAATGATCGAGTGAAGATGACAAGGTAAGGAAATAGTTCATTTCTGCACATTTGAACTTGAACAACATGTGTAGGTGGATTTGAGCCTGGTTTCTTGGCTGATTTTTAAATTTCTCTATATCGCACTCAAGCTGTTTGATGATTCGCCTTAATGAAATTTTTACTTCAGCAAGTGTGGTGGTGGTGGAACTGCTCTGTTTTATCCTACACTGCTATATCATATGATTTGCTAGTTCGCATTACGAGTGAGTCAATTATTCCATAATGACTATTGTTGTAGTTGATGCTAGATGATGGGCGAATATTATACACTTTATCCTTCTATCGTGTTCCAACAATATAGTGGTGGCTATAGTTTCTGATATGTTTGCGATTAAGTGTCTGTCCTTCAATGAACAAACATATGATATATCTCCGCCACGTATTCAATACAGATAATGGATCCCCTCATTGCTGATTGACCGTAATGGATGGCACACACGGCTGCCATTCCTTTCTTTTGCGGAAGAAAGTTAGGGAAAGAAACAAATCCTAAGTTAGATTCACATAATTCAGCGTTGGGCCATGAATCCATTATTCCCTAGACGGACCATTAAGCAAGCAGTCAAGTTGATAATAAGCCAATAATATACAGCTGCCAGCCTACCACATCAACACTTGAATACGATATAGTGAAGGATCAGTTGCTTGGATCTTCTAATTTTTATCTTTTTGGCTAAGAATCTTTATTCAATTTTTCTTGACAGTTTTATAAGATATACACAAGATAGATGTACTTATCTCTCTCTTAAATTGTCAAGAAAGGAAGGAAAAATTAAAGAGAACCTAGATGAAGGTGTTTAAAATTAAACTCAACTTTAGAACCAGTCTAAAAAGTATGACTTTCTAGACTTAACCTTTCAAATTGGTCTGAAAAGTACTTTTTTAGACTGGTTAAACAACCAGTTCAAAAACTACTTTCATTTAGAGTAGTTTTAAAATTAATTCAGAAAGTTATTTTAACCAGTCTAAATATCAATTATAGGTCTAGTAGTTGGAGAAGTCATATTATGAGTTTCACTGTGGTTAATCACAACCGAATCAATGAAAAACAAATGTATAAATGATAATCTCACTAATTAAAAATATAATGTAATATTACAAAAATATTGACCGATGTAAAAAGAAATAATTTAAAGGTTATTTTATAATTTTAGTAAAAAGAAAAAGAGGTCCTATTTTTAAAATGGTTAAGAAGTTACAAAGATATGAGTTTTTATTTGGATTTTAAATTTCTTAATTTAAAAATATAGCCATTTCAAATTAGTTTTGACCGATTTGGCCAGTAAATGATTGACTAATTGATTTTTCGTGCCAATCAAGCCAATTCTAATCATCTTAATCCAGACTAAGCAGAATAAGATGATTCGTTGCCATAACTATGATTATATGTTTAATGGCATGATAGCTAAAATGTCAATAAAGAACTCTACAAATTAAATTAATGATAGTCAGAGATTAGATATTGGCATGGGAAGTGCTTTGATGGTGACAGGCACTTAATGGAGTTGATGGGGCCTAATCTAATCTTATAACCTCTGAAAGGAAGCTGCTTTTCATCAGATTCCGTTATATATTGATCCTTCCCTTTCTAAATGAGGTCAACAAACCTCAAAGCCATCTTAGATCAGTCAGCATGGCAAGCTCCAATTTTCCTTCTGTTTTAACATGTCTTTTGATTCTCACATGTGCGGTCTGGACTTCTCTGTGGGTTCTGAAGCCTACGCAATTTTGGACAAAAAGATGGAAAGATGCTGAAGATAACGCAGATAATACTGTGTTTGGGTACTATGGTAATCACTAGATCTTCGACTTTGAAAGTCTTGTCGTAAAATTTTGTGAGTCCAGTAGCAAGTGATATTGGATATTGCAGGTCTTAACTATGCTGCGTATACATTTCCTGTAATTGCTGTCGCTATAATAGGACTTGTGTTCTTGGATTTAAAGTCTGGAGAACGAAGACGCAGGTATCATCATACATGTGTAAATTTCAAGTTACTGCTGATAAACATTTCGCTTGAAAATTACTTTGTTGATGTTACAGTAAAGCAAGGAGTCTGTCCACTTTCTTGTCAAGTCCACTAGTGGTGAATAGTCTTCTGGGAATCCTATCCAGTATCGAGATACTGCTAGTTTTTCTTTTCATCCTCTTCTTAACATGGACTTTTTACGCTCGCATCTCTAACGACTTCAAGAAGCTGATACCTGATAAATCTGAAGCTGGAATTGTAAGTGCTCTTCTTTGACCCTGATGCATTCCCTATCATGTTGGATAGTTAAAAGAACAAAGATATTGCCTTCATTTCAGATGGGAACTCAAGTATCTCAGAGTAGCAACCAGGTTTGGCTTGCTAGCAGAAGCGTCCCTGGCTTTGCTTCTTCTTCCTGTCTTAAGGGGACTAGCCGTGTTTCGCATACTTGGCATTCAATTTGAAGCTTCAGTGAGATATCACACCTGGGTTGGAACAGCAATGATATTTTTCGCCGCAATTCATGGAGGGAGCACTTTGCTCATCTGGGGTGTCAGCAACCACATACGGAATGAGGTGATTCCGCAGCATGTAAACTTCATTTCTGTTTTCAATCTGGTGAAAAAAGGGTACTCTCAATTTTGTCCTCCACGTCTCGTTTCTTTCAATTTAGATTGAGATTTAAGAGTCTAAAACAAATGAAATGAGAAATTGAAAATGGAGTTTTCCCGTTGTGAGATGTGTACAAGTTCTCATCCCTTTTAACTCCTGTTTCCTCCTTCACATTTTATTTTTTCTCTCTTCAATCAGATATGGAAGTGGCAGAAGACAGGACGAATATACCTTGCTGGAGAGATTACACTTGTTACGGGGATGGTTATCTGGTTCACTTCACTTCCTCAAATTAGAAGGAGAAACTTCGAAATCTTCTACTACACCCATCATCTGTACTCTGTGTTTCTTGTATTTTTCTTGTTTCATGGTGGAGATAGGCACTTTTACATGGTCTTGCCAGGAGTTCTTCTTTTTGGTCTTGACAAACTCCTTCGTATCATACAATCAAGGCCAAGAACTTGCATCATTTCAGCTCGAGTTTTCCCTTGCAAGGCTGTGGAGCTCATTCTCCCCAAAGATCCAAGTACTTAATCTCCTTTCCATGAAGTAGCTTTAGAAATACAGAGATCTGAAAAATATATGAAGTGCTTGTTTCTGTCATTTGCAGGACTAAACTACGCTCCCACAAGTGTGATATTTATGAAGGTACCAACCATATCAAATCTCCAGTGGCACTCCTTCAGTGTAACATCTAGTTCCACTGCTGATGAACAAAGGATGTCCGTGATAATTAAATGTGAAGGATGGTGGACGAGTTCGCTTTATGACATGATACATGCTGAGCTGGGCAGAGATTCTGCGAAAATGAAGGGTATACCTGTTGCAATTGAAGGGCCTTATGGACCTGCTTCTCTGGACTTCTTGAAGTGAGAAAACAACATTATACCAAGCACTTTTTTTTAATCTCTTTTTAGTTTATACAGTCTTTAAATGTTCAGAGAAGTACTTCTGCAGATATGACAGTGTACTTCTGGTTGCTGGAGGGAGTGGAATAACCCCATTTCTGAGTATTTTGGCAGAAGTTTCCTCAGCCACCAGCAAAAAGAGATTCCCCTCAAGGATACAACTTGTGTATGTTATCAAGAGGGCACAAGACTTCTCTCTGTTGCATTCAATCTCCGATCTTTTGCTCAAGGAATCGCCTGGAAAGTGTCACTTGAAGCTAAAACTCTTTATAACCCAAGAAAATCAGCCAGGAATGAGACTTAGAGACCTACTGAATGAATTCTTCGAAGTAAAAACTTTGCACTTGAACACAGAGTGTTCGAATTACCCAGTACATGGGCCAGAGAGTCCAGCTTGGATGGCTGCCATTTTAGGATTTTGCTCCATCATTTTTCTTATTGTTCTTATATGTTTCAACCATATAATTCCGCCTGAGAAGGGCTCAAAAAAGTCCAAAGACAAGACACCTTCTTGGGTTGTAGATATGTTTCTTATGGCTTCTTTTGTCATAGCTTTAGCTTGCAGCACCTTGATGGGAATCTTTTTGAGGTGGAGACGGTTGCAGAAAGGGATACCACCGATCTCCCAGAAAGAATCTAAACCCCTCGATTTAAGCTCTACTGAAAGCAGGAGTACCCTTGAAGAACATGAAGTCCATTTTGGGGGACGACCAAACTTCCAAGGTACTGACTTCTTTCTTTGTTTTTTTGTCAACATTTGCAAATCATTTTACTATATTACAGGAACTAAAATAAATTCACCGACAATTATTAGATGCATTGATAAAACAATGTTATATAGAGGGACGCTGGCCAAAAAAAAAAAAGTTATATAGAGTGATATTTAAAAGAAACTGATGCTGAATAATAAAATGCCTAAATACTGTCTTAGGTCATGATAAAAAAAATGATAGGTTCAAAGCTCAAATATTTTTAGGAAGATGTGAAGCTCTTAACGTATATCATTGGTGAATTGAATTGAACAGATATATTTGGGGAGTTTGAAAATGAAAGTGGAGGAACAAATGTTGGAGTGTTGGTATGCGGACCAAAGAGTATGAAGGAGTCGGTGGCCATGATTTGCCAACAGAAATCCAAGCATTTCAATTTAGGTGCCAAAAAAGGCAAAGCCTGCTTTACTTTTCACTCCCTCAACTTTACACTCTAGTTTCAGTTAAATATTTCAGTGAACGTACCCCTCCCAAACAAAAGAGGAAAAAGAAAAAATGATATGGATGTTGTTAATTTGATGCCTGTCTTTCACTCAAAAGAGGCAAGAATTATCTGAATATGTGATGTATTTGAAATCTGAATATGTGATATGTTTGAAAACCAAGTTATGGACCCAATCGACACGGGACCATGTTGCTTAATCAACTATCTCACTATATATGATCTTTTGCAGGCGTGGTTATGTCACCATCTTTACTTTTCGCAAGATAAGCCTTCTTTCTTTCTTTTCCCACATCCAGTGGCCATATATGACTGGGACTATTAGTTAGTACGACTAAGTTGGATTAGGGTCTTGATTAGTGATTAAGTAGATCTTTCTCCAAAGATATTCTTTCCAAAATTCGAACTCCAATATTTCCGAGATAAGTTTCTTTATTCCATTCTCAAATGTGTCCTCACCAATCTCTCTACCTTGAATGTTGCCGCTAAACATACAGAACGTATCCCTGTGTTGTATTTACCATCACACCGTCTAATTTTTATCCCCGGGCAGAAGCTGGTTTGATTAAAGCCGTTTAAATTCAAGTTTTAATTATTTAATATATGTAAATAGAAATAAAATAACTTTTGGCCTATAACCTTAAAAAGATGACCATAAAAAAATTCATTAAGAAAAAAAGATAAGTTACGAAGCATCCGAAATATATATTCATTTAATCACAATTTCTAGTCCATTGTCCTTCTTGATTTATGCCAAGTTACTTTTTACTTCTTAAAAAATTAATTAATCACAACGGCCTTTACAAAACTTTTCTTCCCCGGCGGACTTCGGAACCTCCACAAAAAGTTTAACATCCATTACCCCGTAATAAATCATTAATTACAATATTTACTGATTAAAAGCAAACCAGAGCACAAGTCAAAATAATTAAACAAGAGAGTTAAACCGCATGCGTGGTCCCCTGTAGCGCCGCCTCTTGTGATTCCCTGTCGCCGTCACTATTCACGGTGCCGCTCTCGCCGCGAGCTAACTCAGACAACGATTCCACCGGCGCCGCCCCGAGTTCCTCGCCCAACAAAAGCAACACAACCTCCTTCATGGTTGGTCTTCTCTGCGGATCAGGGTGACAACAAGCTAAACCAAGCTTCAAAATCATCTCCATGTCTCCCTGATCGTACTCACCCTTAATCCTTGCATCCGCCGCGTCGACTACACTCCCGTTCGCGTACAAGTCCCTTACCCAGTCAATCAACACTACCTCCTCCTCCGGCGCGGACGTCTCTATCGGTCTCCGCCCACACGCAACCTCCAACAACACCACGCCGAAGCTGTACACATCGCTCGCCGCCGTCGGCGCAGCCACCGACGCCAGCTCAGGTGCCAAATACCCCAACGTACCTACCACTCTCGTCGTGTTTGGAACCTCACCTTGTTGGTAAAGCTTAGCAAGACCAAAGTCCCCCAATCTGCCTCTCATTTCCGAATCCAGCAATATGTTGCTCGACTTAATGTCTCTGTGTATCACCACTTGATCCCAACCATGGTGTAGATAGTTTAGCCCTTCGGCGACGTCGACGAGGATTCGACGACGTTGTTCCCAGCCCAGAAGCTTGGCAGGTTTGTCGAAAATCCATTTGTTCAGACTTCCATTAGGCATATAGTCGTAAACAAGCATGAGCTCGTTCCCTTTTCTGCACCATCCTCTCATTTGAACCAAATTCTTGTGTTGAAGCCTGCCCATGCTGGAGATCTCCGCCATAAATTCTCGTAACCCCTGCTTGGAATCGTGGTTGACGCACTTGACTGCGATTTCTGTGTTGTTCGATAGTGTTCCTTTGTAGACTCTTCCGAATCCTCCTGAACCCAAAAGATTTTCCTTGCGGAATTCATCAGTAGCCACGCTGAGCTCCTCGCATGAGAATCTGTGGGGCCAGTACTCTAGCTCCCAATCTTCCATTTCGTCCTCTTGCTCTTTCAATTTCTTGTTTCGCCACCACAGGTAAAACCCAGAACCACAAATCACCATAAAAGCAACACATCCAATGACGATCCCCGCAATCGCCCCACCTGAAAGCTTCGAAGGCGACGATTGTGGCTTGAAGACTGGAAAATTTGTCGTATTGATGTCTTTCGCAGGTCCGGTATCGCTGAAGCTCCAAGCTAAAAGTCTCTGTGCTTCAACCCAATTCGTTTTCGATGCAGAAAATCCAACATACATCTCTGCCGACACGTAATTCGCTATAACAGGGTCTTTATACGAAAGCGTCGGCATAGACGGGCGAGTAACGCCAATTGGCGCAACCGTGACATTTATCTCCAAATTTGCGCCATCAAAATCTATCCAAGCTCGAACGTTACGACCATCACGCATTCGAATAGGCACGAAACCACCAGTGGAATTATAGTAGCCTGCGGATTTCGTGACGGCGGATTCAATGTTGTTCAGATCGATTCCGATGTGGTTATCATCTGGGTCGTTGAACTCTGGGTTCTGACCAGTGTCAAATTCAACGGCGAACAGTGGAGTGACGGCGGGCCGTGTGGCGTTTGTGAAGAGACCGAAGTACTGGCTGGCTAGGGCACCGACGGGAGACATGGTACTGGTAAGGACGAAGGCGAGACCGAAACCTGGGCTCGTGGAGATCTGGGGCAAAATGGAGAAGACGAAGGAAGTGGAGAAGGAAGAAATATTGGAGGAATTGGAGTTTGGTTTCATGGAAACGGCGGTGGGGTAGAAGGATCGTCCGAAGGAGTACTGGTTGGAGTCGTTGGTCATGCGGATGACGGTGTGGTCGACGCGAGCGTCGTTGATGAGAGTAAGGTTGGTGCCATTGACGATGCCGTTGAAGGAATTGAAAAGAAAGTCGAGTGCAGAGATGGGAGAGAAGAGGACGGGGAAGAAGAGAAGCAAGAAGATCGTCCCCATCGCAGCGGAACCCGTCACCGTCCCCGGCGAGGGGAAAAGGAGCGGGGTCAGGTGGATGTGGTTATTGTCTGCATTAAGGGGCGAATCCGATGGGCTGCACAGGATTCTAGGGATTATCTCAGTTTAACGGCGACTTTATTTATTTTCTATAAGGGGAAGAAAATAAAACAAGAATAAATGATGATTTGGAGATTGGATTTGGACCAGCACAGTAGACCCCAAGTAAAAATTAGCTGTGGAGATAATTAATTATTAAAATTTTGACGTAGTGGTATAGTTGCGCTTGGTGCCAATGTCTGATCATTAATTATTCATTAACATTCTATGGACAGTAGATATTGCTGGCTGTGTCGGCTTATTTAGTTTAAGGAGAATTACAACTAAATCTCATAAAAAGAAAAAAATTACAAAATAAATTATATAGGTTGTCAACTTGTTGTTTTCTACCGCAAGACCTGTCATTACAGGCTATAAGACTTATCATTACAGGCTGCTCAAGTTGTTATTAGAACTTTTTAGTAATTATTTCTCTTCTGTGAGATTTAATTGTAATTCTCCTTTTAATCTATACTCTTTTGGTTCTATTTTAAAGCAAAGAGAAAAAGGAGTACACTATTATTGGATACTATTTATAAGTTATATCATAAAGTTTGTGATATGAATACAAAATTAAAAAATTATTATATTTTTAGATAAAGACAAGGCAAGGCAGTTTAAGAGAAGAGGAGTGAAAACAAGAAGGCAGGTGCATCCGCTGAAAAGCAAGACATGGGATTGACGAGGAGGCTGAAGGATGTTTGGCGGAGTAATCCTAGTTCAATGTTTCTCCTGTGTCTCAAGATTCTTAACGTTTAACTTTGTGGTATTATAAAATATAGACATTGAATATGAGTGAAATCTAATCTGCAGCACTTCTTACTTGGAGGGAAGAACTTTTACGACGAGATTAATAGTAAAGAGTAAAAACTAACACTTTAATGAACAAGCAACAGGAGTTAGATACAATGGAATGAGTAAGTTCTCTACAACGTGATGAAACAAACAAAGCATAAAGCAGAATTCATTTGGATTCCAATATCATGCACGCCGTTTCCCTATTTATGTTCGTTAAAATATATTTTAGCTACATTGATTTTGTGTTTTTCACTAAATTATATTCTTTTTGCTCTTTCAATCACTATCATTGTTAGAATGACTACTTTGAAAAAAAAATATATAAACATGAAAGATAAAATGGATTGGGGTCTTATATTTAGAACCAAAATAAAAGTCAAATAGAATCTTATATTAAAGATCAGAGGTAGTATTCCTGTTGCTCTTTCGATCACTATATGAATTCTTTAAATATCTGACGTATATCATCTTTTGTTTTTAAAATATAAGCATGTTTTGACGTAATATATATTTCTTTCCCAAAAAGAGTCACTCAAATCTCATTGATGGTATGACGAAAACATGATTGCAGTCCCAACTCTCAACCCCCAACAACTATTCCTGGCCCTCCTGTGAATAAGTTTATATATCATTCAACTTGGCATGATATTTTTTCTTTCAATACTTATCCATATAATTTAGTGTGATTTAGATATTAAAAGAATGCATAAATTGTAAAAACAAAATAGAAGAAAATTAATCTTTTGCCCACACAGTTTTAACTAAATTGTAATGGAGTTAAAATTATAAAGACCAAGTTACCTCATGACAAAATTTCAGAATTAACTTACAGCAAATTCAAAATTATAGAGACTAAAAGTAAATTTTTTGGACAAAATATTTTGTCAGAGCAAGCAAAGCATCTTATGTGGGAGAGTAGTTTTTTTTAGTATGATTCAGAGTATACTCAAGTCATTTTGAGCTGGAGACTAATCTCCATTGAACTAAAAGCGTTAATGTTAAAACCTTCTGAACAAATGTGCTTTTCGAGATTTAAACTTGTATTTTTTTCTTTACAAAGGTGAGACCGCTTACTATATCAACCAACAGCTTATTGTACTATGATAAAGTAGTTTTCGCTTGAGATTAATATTTTGAAGGGGAGGTTTTGGGCCCGGGCTGAGTCCACTATCATGGGCCAGCTTCACTGAGGGCTGACTGCCGAGTGGGTGTCCTCCAGGTTTAGATTGCAAAACGGGCCTGTAATATGATAAAGGAAAAGACAATTACTACTGTACCATTTTGAAATACCAAGAAAAGAATTTAATACCAAAAAAAGAAAATGAAAAAGCCTCATAATAAGCTTTCAAAGTCAAATTGTGAAAATAATGGTGGGGGGGAGGAGTGATGTGAAAGACAGCGTAAATAATGGGGCGGTGTGGTGTGTAATCCTCCAACAGAAGAACATGAGACTTTGTTGGCCTTAAAAAGAAGACAAGAACAGAAGTCTTTTCCTGTGTCTTGACGTGGCATAGCAGAGGAATATTATTAGCTCATACTTTTCTGCATGTCGCCACGTAGCAGCATCGCCGGCGGGTGTTGACGTGGCACCTCCTAGGCCTTCCACGAATATGGAACGTTAAAATTAGGACAAAAGGCCGAACTAGCGAGTCCCAATAATGCCCGGGATTAGGGCTACGTCCAAGGACTGTGCCCATGTGCTCTGCCCCCCCTCTCAAGCCCTCCCCCACATTCAATACAATGGTAGCATCTGATTCACGGCTGCGATGACGTTTAGCTTGGGATCCATCGTCCATGAGACCACAACCCCCTAGTGGGTCCCACAATCATTTTTTGGGGTTAAAAAAATACTTTTCCCAGATATATTTCCCCCTTCCCAAGTTAGTATTTATATTAAATATAAGACTTATTTTTATAAGTTTATTATTTTTTTAAAATTAATTTTATTGATATTTTTTCAATAATAATCGAGTAGAAATAGAAAAGAAAATTAAAAAAGATGTTTGAGATATTTAAAAAAACATATTATATTAACTAATTCAACTAATATTTTTAATTTACTTGAATTAGTTAATTAAATCTTACATTAAAAACTGGATGAATATCTAATAAAGCGAATAATCAGGCAGAGAAAAGATCAACAGAATGGAGAAAACAAGTAACAGACATTTTCACATAGTCAATTGTTTGATTGAATTGAATATGTTCCAAAATGGAATTGGAAGGAACAGATGAACTGCGCCCTTTTTTCGGTACAAATGGGGGAAAAAAAAATAAAAAAGGGATCTACCCAGTTCATATTTTGCAGTATTTGGAAGGAAATAGAGCCATCAATTTCAGCTTTCACGACTTTAGTTAAAGCCAAACCAATTCAGGTTCTGCTTAACCAAAGCACACCCCACCACGTCACAGAGAATCTGATATGAGCTCTTATATGCCCAAATTTCAGTGGTGATGGGTCATTTTATTAGAATCATATCATATACAGCTAAGAAAAAGAGAGGACAGAACAAAATACAACAGACAGGTGTGACTTTAAATAGATCCATGTACATATATAATGCACCTGAATCAGAAGAAGAAAGGTGTGACTAGATATACACACATGTTAGCTATAGAATTTTTAAACTTTTCAAGAAAAAGTTGCATAGGATGGAAAGTCAGGTCAGCTTAAGGGGAAGGGGTTGATATACGGTTATTAAGTAAGATTAACTACTCAAACTTCGTAAATGTTAAAAAAAAATTACTTTAAGAAATATACTCACACCTAAAACCATATACTATTTAAAACTGAGTCAGGTAATTGTACGAGAGATATATAAAAAATGTTATAAAACCTATAAACACTTGTTATTTTGCTATATTAAAATATGTATATGTACTTGTAAAAAGATTTAAATTTTTTTTTTGTTTTTGGTATCAGAACCTGTAACTTATAATGTAAGTCTGGACTTGTAAATTTTTATATGAATAATTGTTATTTTATAATGCTTAGTAGTCAAATGTATGTACTTGCAAAACAAGCCTATGAACACTTGTGATATTTTGTAATATATCGCCTGCCTATTTTTCTTTTTTAAATACTTCAACTGACATAAATTTCATTTTAAAAATAAAGATTGTCATGTTTTGGCGTAAATGAAATAGCCATGCTTAATACTAATGGGGGGGGGGGGGAGAAAAAGAAAGCTATACAGAGTCTATGGATTTAGCTTGCCTAAAATTTCGACTCTCATTGAAAGCTACGTATAATAAATCATCAATAATTCATTAAGGGTCTGTTTAGATATCCTAAAATCGTGGTTTCAGAAATACTTTTCCGCAAAACGAAATAATCTTCTCCACATATTTACTTCGTAATCCGTAAAAACACTTCTAAAATTATGGTTTGGTTTCTATTCAAACACACTCTAAATATGCAATTCAATCCATTTATGCTTTCGAAACAGGCATGTGACTGCGTTAGCTAAATTGGTGAGGGGGGCCCCAGTCAAATACTGTACTTCTGCTTTCCACATCAATCAAATACACAATTTCAATTTATCACGCGGAAAGTTTGATGTATTTAATTATTGTTTTTTTGGGAGAATGATGAAAAAATACCTCATTAATTTCAAAATGATTGATAGGTAATTTTAATATATTTTGACATGTTAAAACTATTATAAAAATATTTAGTTTGAGCTATTTATCTTTTAAAATTCAATAGGCGTGTTTATGTCATTTTTTTTCTTTTTGGTATATTCCTCCAAATGAGATTGCTACATATTTTGATCCTATTTATAAGATAGAGAGAGAAGATATTTGTTAATCCTATAAAACAAGGTACTAAAAGAAATTTTTTGTATAGATGTATAATTTTACCACTAATTTATTATCGTGTTGATTTTATTTATATAAGGTATAATGTATATTAAATAGAGATAAAATTAAAAAGTTATTAAATTTTAAATAAAAGTTAATAAAATTTAAAATTTTTCTTTATTTATGTAAAACATATTAAAAGTGATTTATCAATAAGACTGTAAGAGTGTATACTAGGAAGCGTTTACTATTAACAGACTGTAGGGGTGTACACTGGGGAGCTTTTACTGCTCATATCAGTGGAACAAAAATTGAACATATAAGAGTGATATGCACAATTTTTTTCATTAAAATATTAAAAGGTTGATATTATTAAGTAAAATTAAAAATGTGGTGGATGCTATGTAACAAAAGATTAATATTATTTTTAATTTCTGAATTTGATTTATTTTAATTTTGATTATTAAAATTTGAAAACAATAATTTTAATCGTGGAAATAAGGTTTCAGGAATAAAAATACTCTTCTAAAACCACTGGTTTAAGATTTTAAAGATAAAATCAAACTAGGATTAAATTTAATAAATTGAAAAGGTATTAACTGTGTAAT